CACACACACTTTATGGCCCTTCATTTTTTAACCAATTTCAGCATTCATGTAAAATATCTATTGTGTTCATTTTTGGCACAAATGCTGAATGTCTTGGAATGGTGAACAAAAGCTATCTACTTATTATTGTTATTTTTATTATCGATGCCACTGTTGTCATCATCGTCATCATCATCATCATCATCATTTGTATTCGGACTGCTGCACACAAGCATTTGCTTTTTTGGCTATACCCTCTTCAAGAATCATTCAATTGTTTCTATTGTAATTGTTTATTTTTGATTTAAGTTTATTACATTGGGTTTTATAAACTAAATTATTATACTGTAAAGTAAATATAAATATCTTAAATTATGTAGCCATTAACAAAAGACACTTAGAACATCTTAAACTTTTATTCACACATTCTCTAGAACTAATAGCTATAAACTGAATTTCTGTAATTCCTTTCCTCGTGTTTGGGTGGAATTAGGAGCAGATGTTCGTGATAAGCTTCTTACTAGTCTCCAAACATTTTTAAATAAAATCAAAACATTTTTGAAGTAAATAATTTATTGGCATAAACAAACTCCTTATTGTAAATTAGTGCTTTTAAATATTTTTGTTTATCTATTTTTTATATATATGTATTTTGTTTTGTCAGTCCTGTTTTGGAGAGCTCCTTGACAGGTGTTGTAGAATTACTAGAATGCTTTTGAGCAAACCTCTCCGGCACGGCTCTCTTGTTTCTCTAATTTGAATATTTTGTGCTTTTATATTGAACAAAATAAATAAAATGAAGAAAATATGTTTATTTAAATGAATGAATGAATGAATGGCTTGTACATATTACGGATGCGCAAAAACCATAGTGTTAGCAGTATATTAAAAACATTTGCTCATGCTATTATAGCACGATGAACAACAATGTTAATTGAGTTTGTAACTCTAATATATGTGTATACCCAAGTGGGAGCAGTCTTAACAATAATAAAATCACCCTTGTACCTTCACTTCTGTTTCCTCTTTTTTCTCCTCCACCTTCTTTACTGATCCCGTTTTCTCTGTTTCTATAGCAAGTTGTTTACATTCCTCAAATTTATTTTTAAACTCGGATGCCACTTCAGGTTTCTTGAATCTAATGGCCAACTGTTCCCTACTTGCTTTTCCTTCGGAGAAATCCAGCGCATTCCAGACCCATGCACGGTCTGACGACTGCATCATCTTTAACTCAATGTCCGGTGTGATCACGTGATTAGCGCATACTTTCAACACCTGTTCCCTCCTCATTAGGATACGTATCCTACCGGTGTTCTTGTTTTGCATGAACTTAATGTCGCCAACTCCACGTTCTTTCCACTGGTTCAATTCTTTGTTGAAGCGATAAAGCTTTCCACGTTCCTTCCACAGACAGGTCTCGTCTTCTTCACCAGTCTTTATATCAGTGACCTCCGGTAAGGTTACGATCGGTTCGTAATGCGGGTCATACTCAGTGTCAGCACCACCAGGTGAGGTAAACAGTTGTGTACCGGCACTTGACCAGGAAAAGCTCTGAAAAGTTTCTGAAGAACAGATTGTGGAATGAAAATGGAATCATTCTTTTAGAACAAGCTAACGCTAAGACATGTATTTTGAGTGTTTTCAAAACAATCCTTTACATGTATGTAGGCGGTATAACAACATCAATAAATTTGAAACCCTAATAACAGTAAATAAATAACAGAGTCACTGGACGAATGTTCTTGTCAGGACCTTCTGTGTTTTCCTTTTACGAACTGTTGTAATGTTTTATATGTTTATTGAATAAAAGTGATTTTTATATACAGTAAGACATACAAACTGTTGTAATGTTTTATATGTTTACTGAATAAAAGTGATTTTTATATACAGTAAAACATACAAACTGTTGTAATGTTTTATATGTTTACTGAATAAAATTGATTTTTATATACAGTAAAACATCACAGTCAAATGAAATATAACTGTATACATTCAGTGATAATTTTCTTTTACAATAAAGTTATATTAAATAAAAAAGTTATAACATATTTTATGATATATATAGATATATAGCCAAATTAGTTTGATAAAAAATAATAACTGGAACTGGTAATGGATATTATATTGCGCCTTGATTGATCATTATTCAGGAACCCCATGCATCACAATAGTATAGTCTCACAAACATAAAAACAAACAGAAAAGGAATATGCAGAAGAGTGACATTAGGCAAACAAGTCAGTCTTAAGTGCACAAGGGTGTGCATAGTAAAGTAATAATACATTTAATGCTTTCGGTACACCACATATATAGTTCTGAAATAAATGTTGTTTGTTGAAAATGTTTCGACGTTTCGATTGAGTTGCTTCAAATCGTCTTCAGGATAATATCTGCAGAGAATCCAAACAGGCAAATACTTATATGTTCGGATAGTGTGACTTGCTGCTGATTGGTCGAAAACTAAACAATAACTATTATTACGTGATGCACCACAAGCATTAAATATAATAAATATATTATCAAATATAATAACATTTACAATAACAATAAACTAACAGATGGATAAAATAACATAATAGAGGATGTTTATATGTTGAGGCAGATGCAGAATTTGGCAGTAGGGGGTGCATCCGTGTGTACACCACCTACTTCCCTACAATGGTTGGGGCTGAGGTGAGGACATTTTTAGAATATCGATCTCCAGATGCCCGGAAATTTCAATCTCATGTCTTAAAAATCTTACCGGTACTATGTTCATCAATAATACAATACAATTATTTTTCTTAATACAATTATTTTTCTTAATACAATTTGGGGGTGGGGGTGCATTCTGCCCCAGATAATGGCGATTACTTACTTTGCTTCATAAAGTCTGGAGTACTGTTAGTTTCAGCGGATATGGAAGCAAAGGTCACACTACTAGCATTTGAACCGCCAAACATCAATGGCGCTGTAGAGAGTGCTACAACATGAGGAAAAAAAGTAACACTTTAATGTCTAATTTAATCCTGCTAACTTCTATGCATCTATAGGTGCATGCCCCACCTCCACTCCCCCCACCCATTCGGTCTCCCTCATTGATTATTTCCAAAGAAAAAAAAAAATCACCTCATATCACCTTATTTTGCGACATAGCGTGCCTCACTTAATCATCGAGCGCCACCACTCCACCTTCGCGCCCCCTCCCATTACCACCCAAATTTCAAGACTTCTAGACACGCCACTGTATTTGTTCCATGGAAACTGACCACTACTTAATTTACCAACCATAAAAATTTTGATAGAGCCCCTGGTTTGGTTTTTAGGGTTTACTATGTTGCTATTAATTATTAGTCATATATAAAGGATTGGAAGATAATAACTCCCTCACACTTCCTATCTTGGCAATTTCACATAACTCTATAAGTAATAAATTGACTATTCCACATATTTCACTATCACTGAGAATGAAGTTTGTGCATTCCAATAGTAACCCCACTGGGTTAATCTTACAGATTAAATTGTAATGTGGGTTACAGTCAGAATATGTGTCACAATAGTGGTTTTCAATCATTAAGTGTTAAGGCAATACATCACACCCAACAGATGTAGCTCAACTTCCCATATTTTTTTGGCAGCCAATTACGGCCAAGCACAAAAAAAAGTAGTTTCTTGTCATAATATTTTTAAAAAAGGAGAATGAGCACTCCTTTTTTTAAAATCTTGTGCGAGGGGATGAGAAACTAGTCTTTTTTCTATTTTGGCCTAACCTCATATAACAGCCACCAATATCCCATACATTCGCTGATTACAAACCACCAACCTTTTGGCATTTAGGTGAATTAAACTTAATATATTCTTGAAACCCTTGTTTCTGAGTGTTTAAAGGTTAAGCTAGAGTTTAATGGCCTGACACAGCCCAGCCAACCGAATTTCAACCAGCATATATCAGTAACTTTATGTTATTGGTATACCACCACCAACAAACAACCAACATTTCCAAATATGCAACTTACTTTCTTGGCTTGGTTGGACACTTTCTTCCTTTGCCTTTGTGCTGTTCTCCCTCTGATCATCCGTGCTGAACCTATTCTCCTTATTAAACAACTCGGCAATATCAATGTCATAACATCCAATACAACCTGGACACGGCTCTTTGTATTCATAAAGATAAAATGTTGGCGGGAGTCTCAATTTAAGAGCCATTGCGATCTGCGCTGGAGTTGGTTTTCTTTCATAGACAACTATCACATCATCATCGGATTCATTATCAGAACCTGATTCATCTAGATATTCAAAAAATGAAAGAATATGTTTAAATAATATCTAAAATATTCAAAATTCAAATTCAATAGATAATAACATGGGAACTGAACCCATGTATTGGTCACAATGGTTAATTTTTCAGCAGTAGTACCATAGAGAAAATAGAACTACAGTATGGTAGTACGATAGTGACTATGGTGAGATGAATTATGATGGCGACTGTTCTACTGTGATGTCATACTGAACTGAAATCTTATTTATTCAGCATCAAAAACATCAATATAAAAAGCAAACAAAAACAATTCTATGCAGTGATTAGGTAGTAAAAATAATATTTAAAAAAACAATGAAAGGATAAAAAGAACCACCAAGAAACACCAAAGGATCCACTGGTTATTCGCAAACACAATTAAGAGTATGGCAACTCTTAAGAATGACAAATATGAGGCCATAATTGAATCTACACCAAAGAGCTTGTAAATTTGAGGCCCATTAAATCAATTGATTTTATCTTTATAAATTTATAATATAAGAGCTAACCTGACAACACATTTTTAAAAAGCTAACCTCACAAACTAACAAAAGATAGAATTCAAAATAAAAAATGGATGTTAACTGAAGTTCAACAGGGGCAGGGCCACAGTAGAATGCCATTGCCAGGACAACTAAGTTAAGGTTGCCAGGACAACTAAATTAAGGTTAGAATATATAAATAATGATACCGCTGACCCGGTGTTGATGTAATTAAATTACTGCAACAATAATTGGCCTAGTAAATAATAAGTGATATAAATTATCTTAATTTTTTTTTAAAGTGACACAGTACAGAAATTAACCATTTTACTAATAAAAATTAAGGCAAGTCATGTAATTTACCTTAACTTACCTTGTTATTTGCTTTATTTGCCATACATCTGACCGGTAGTATATAAACCGGTAGTAGCATAAGCACTACGCTTGCAAAACATGTCGTTTAATAGTATCATTTATTTATTATTTAATCCCTACTTTTTAAATTATATTTTATAGTACCGTGAAATGATTTCAATTGTGGAAGTTTCTTCAGAAATCCTACACCATTACCTTTAACATGATTGTGATAAATACAATGATTATGTTGAAAATCACGATGATGATTATGACTGAGAAATAAAGTAGTAAAAAAAGTCTAAGAAAACCAACCTTTAGTTTGTATGGCTGAACTGTCAACTGCAGCTTCCTGACCAGCAAGTAATGGGCTTTGGCCTGGTTTACTTGGTTGAGGTGCTACTGCTACTGGTGTCTTTTGAGTGGTAAAACTAAACCCTGCAAATGGCGAGGTGCTGATAGGTTCTTTTTGTGCAGTGAAGTTGAGACCTTTAAATGCACCAGTTGCTGTCTGACTAAATGGCCCACTAACTGGTGAGGCTGTTGACTGTGAACCAAATGTAGATTGTGGTTGGCTGAATAAGGTGGAACTTGGTTTATTGAACACGTTTGAACTAGTTGAAACTGGCTGACTGGACACAGGAGTGAAGTTACTACCTCCACCAAACGAAAAGCCAGTAAAACCAGAGGGTGCTGGCGCCGGGTTAAAACTAGCTTCAGGTTTGCTCCCGAAAGAGGAACCAGCGACACTGGTTGGGGTCTGCTCGGCTTCTTTTGCTTTTGCAGATTCAAGTCGTGTTCCACTTGTGAAATTAGGCGAAACAGCAGCTCTTTCAGATAACTTGTCACCTCCACCATGGTTAAATCTTGAGGTGGAAGAAAGAGATGGGAAACCAGAAAAGGTCTGTGGAGAAGGCTGTTCTGCGCTATCTTCTGACCCAATCAATATTTGACGTAACAACGGAGCATCGCTGGCAGACTTCTCGGGTGCAGGTTCGCTCTTACTCAAAGATGGTGCAACTGGTGAAGACACTGATTGTAGATTCAATTTTGGTTGATAGTTGAATGTTTTAATACCAGCTAGATTTTCTCCAGGCATAACTGGAGTGCCTGTGAATGTCTTCGGATGTATGGTATTAAGTCCGGAGAACCTTGCAAATCCTTCATCATTGTGTACTGCATCAGACGGGGTACCGATTTCAGGGGTTCTAGACTGTCCTATAACCTGCGTTGGTGTGGAGAATACTTGGCCTTCTCGTAACTTCAGTGATGGTATTGTACTGTGAGGATCTATGCCATAAATATCACTTTCTGCTTCGTACGCATCTTCTCCATGATAACGCTGACCAGGTGTTGAGGTCATCATGGAGGGCATGCATGGCTGCTCAGCGCCTGCCATTCCAGGAATTGGGAATCCGGTGAGGTTGAAACTAGGTATAAGTTGTGGGGGGAACACTGTTGGATGAGTAGGGTAATACATAACAGGTTGAGGAGTTGTTAGGTTGGGAGCCTCTGCTTTTTCGATTCGACAGTTGTTAGCATTGATCACAATAGTATTATCAGTATTGATGGTGCTTGATTCATTTGCACGCGAGGAGGCCGAGGGTACATGGGGTGTGGCTAAATGTGGCGGGGGTGGAACATTAAGTTTCAACTCCTGCATCTCTTTCTGTAAGAAAACACACATTTTAAAATTACAATTTTATTGACGAATAAAACTTGTTTGTGAGTTAGAAAAAGTAATAGACATCCTTATATCCTCACTCGAGATCCTATTACTACAAGTTTGTATAAAAAATGCGATCTTGCTATGTCAACAGTTCAATAACTAGATTAATAAATGTGTTATGTTGTCAGAAAAAATATAGATTTCTTAACAGGAGATTTCACAGGAGGTGAATAAAGAGACATTAGTTATCGGTCCCAAATAAAATAATACCATGTTGTATTTGTTTTACTATACCTCACAATATTAAAGAGCAAACCATTCATCTATATGAGCTACTTCGATCTGTGAGGGTAAAATTACAATCTGCAAACGGTGCACATACCGGGGATGAGGTAGTCAATTTTGGGTAGTACATTTTTTCCCCGCATATGCATATAATTGGGTGGAATTGACCAGTGGGATGTTGTTATTACCTTAATAATGTTTATCAGGTATAGGAAATCAAAAAACATTAGTTTTTATTTGATTTTAATTCTGCTGCAAACACATCAACAGCAAGATAAGTAAATATATTTTTGTGACAGAAATGAAAACCTCCAATAAGAAGTTGAAAATAAATACAAAAGCTGCCATAACAAATTTTTTTCAGAGATTTTTATATGTCGGGCTATAAGACGATCCCCTGTTTCATGGTTGGAATTGCTACTTTTTCCGCTTTTTATGGTCCTTTGACACTGCATCTAGCTGGCGAAAAAACGGACCCAAATGCAAGCCTAATCTTTCAAATATTACCATTATAAATGTCTTTAAATGTTCACCAACATTTCTCCGTATTTAAAATTGCATTCATTCATAATAACATTTAGTAGTTTCATTGTAGTAGCATAAATTTGCGTGTTAATGAGGATTCGCATATAAGATGAACATGATTTTAAAAATCTAAAATTTGCATGTAATGCGTATAAGACGACACCTGTTTTATGATCGTAATTTACTATTTTAAGCCTTTGTCTTATGCGCGAGTACATACTGCATAGTATATAGTGTTTCATAAGTCTAATTAGGGAGTGGCACTGTTCCTAAGCATGATAAAAAAAAAGGCATACAAAAATATAAGTGGTATCACTACTGTCATCATTATTATATTACAAACGATGCATAATTCAATAACAAAGAATTTTAAAAATCACACAAAGAAATCCAACTTACGTTCAAGTTAATAATTTGTTCCATTAGGAACTTATTTTGTTCCATGACTTCATTGTGTTTCGACAGAATCTCGCTGTTCTGTTCAAGAAGACGGCTATGAGACAATGCGAGCGTACGTAGCTGTGAGTTTTCGTCCATGAGACGTGTCTGACTTACATTCATTGACCGCAGCTCGGACATGAGTCGACGTGGGCTGGGATCCGGGCTCAAACCCTGCAGTAGCAAAATTAAGGTAATTAAGCCTTGAAATTTAACTACTGATGAGGGCAACAGGGAAAAAGAAAAAAAAATCGTGAAATATATTGTGATAAGAGTAGCTTAGTCAGCTAAAATACTGATATTTATTATGTGTGCACTGAAATATGGAGAACTTGTATCTGATTCTGTTCTATTGTGCTTTAAGAGGGCTGAAATAATAAAATAACAGATTAATACAAATCATCGTGTCAACATACTCAGCTCTATAATGCTGCAGCTAATAGCAGGTCTAGCAGGTACCCACTTAAAGTCCTGGTATTAGAGGCAAGTGTCATGCTGCCATGCATAAGGTAAGCTAAATGTACCTCCAACCTCGAAGTCTGAATCGCACCTGCTGTGGCAACTACCAACTTTTATAGCACACCACCATTCAGATAAGACATTTTTAAGCTGTTGTTCATCATAGTCTTTTTGCATGTTAAACTAAACATATCGAACAGAGCTGGAAATTTGTTAATTGGTGTACTGATCATTTCAACATCAGTCTTGTGGGGATGGGCTAATGTAATCAATGCAAGTAAAACCTACATAAAAAAAAAATCAAATTCGTTAAAAAAATCGTACAATTTACTTGCCTGTTGAAAGGAAGACATGTCACCAGCAGAATGTAGAATACTCCTGCCATCCATCGAGGTTCTCGATGATACAGAAATTCTACCGACAGAAGACCTAGCATTAGTGCCGTTGGCAAATCTGCAAGACGTGTCAATGCTTTCACCATCTTCAACACCCTTACGTGCAAGCTGTTGCTTTTCAACATCGACATCATCCAGCAAACTTTGTATTTCCTCATGCATCGACTACAATTTAAAGAAAATGAAATTACAATTTTCTCGTGGTTGATACCTCCTCATTCACAGATTCATTTGTACCCATGTTCAATTGCATCCCGTCCTTGGGAGTATTCTATTCATGATACTTTATTCAACACGCAATTAAGCTCAATCAGTTTGTTCCAGAGCAATTAATTCTAAAGATTAGATATGGTAATGTGAACTGACGTAGATATTTTTACATGTAATAATTTTCTTTTTTCTAACCATTGAAATAAATGTTACAAACCTGCAACATTTTAGATGCACTTCGGCTATCCTTTCTCAAGCACTGATAATAATAATAATAATAATAATAATAATAATAATAATAATAATAATATAGTTGGATTTATATAGCGATTTATACAGAAGTCCCCAAGTTTTGAGGTGTGGACGAGCTCGTACAATAACTTCCTTTTTCCTAAGGGTCTCTTGGTGTCTGATCTATCCGGTAAACCAGTACCAGCTATCCCCTGTCTGTCCCCAGCAGGGGCTATATGAACCTACTCATCTCGAAAGGTGTACTGGGTTCTTTAAAGTGTACACGAGTTAAATTGTGTACACTGGGCCTACCGTTTATATAGTCCTTATCCAAGAAGAGTTTTTCAACTACCAGAACCACACGCACACATGTGATTTGAACCAGTGCCCTTGCGGCACCCCTGCCTTAACCACTCCGCCATTCGAATCGATATATATGTTAATTTTATGATGTTAAATTAATTATTCATTTTAAAAATTAGTTTTTATTGTGACAAGTATTATATAAGCCCATTTATTTTCCAGAAAATAAACATAAAGTTCTTTGCTCAGAGACATACATCATGTGACCACAGCAACACCTGCATAACTTGCTTTTCCCTTCCTAAGTGTCCATCCCATCTCATTGGAGGTTAGCATTCCCCTTCCATTACCAAGTAATCTCCCCTACCTTCAAAATACTACTTTTAACTTACATTATTGTGGTCGTCCTGTATAGTATCCATCGCTGAGTAAAGGGAGTATGTACACTGGTCTAAGTAGTTACCCTGTGCTAGAATCATATCTGCTGTTATTTCACTGTCATCTTTCCCTTCAACCTCCATGTGGCACAGCTGTTTACACATCTAAGTTATAATACAAATACATACAAGTTTAAAGAAAACATTTTTATATAACAAATACTTAATTGCAAAAAAAAAACCAAAAAACAAAAACAAGATTCAAGATTGCTTTAATCTTGTGATAAATGAAATTATTTTTGCTTGCTGCATACAATGAAAGACATGGAAAGACAGTAAAAGGTAAGCCCGTAGCCAGGGGGTTTGAGGGTTTTCAAAAGAACCATCCTTCTCCAGAAACGCCCTTTTATATCATTACTAAAAAGTACCATTAGCATGAATGTTTTTGAAATTAACCCCAAATATTTGAAATTTGGCACTTTTATTGCCATCTCCGGACATCTGAGGTGTTATATCTTTAAAATTTAATCCAACCATGGTGGGGCAGAGGTGGTTGTGGAATCAAAGTGCCCTTTGTGAAAAATTAGAACCCCTTTTAAAATCTTACATACGCGCTTGACGCGTAATGTGCTTATCTTCTAGAGTTATTATCTGGCAAATCAATCATTAAATACAACAGCACAAAAGATTATCCATTGTTCTGATTGACTATATCAAGATTATCATTATTATTTTTATTGTCATCATTATAATCATTTGTTATCATTAGTAGCTTTTCTGTTTGTGTCTTAATGTCCAGCTTACGTTTCTGTAATTTTACACAATAAAGATTTTGATTTGATTTACCAGCGCTTTAGTGAATAGACCTGTTACGCCTTTAACTTTACTGAGGAGATTGAGTGCCTGTTGGTGGTGCCCTTGCTGGAACTCGTACTCCGCAAGCGCAACTGCTGCTTCCTCTTGTAGTGAAGTCATGTCTTCCTTCTAAAAAAATGAACAATAACTAATGTTATTGCATTTTTATGTCATTTCTTTACTATATGAGGTTTGCCATCCCAAAACCAGTATCAGTGACCGAAAAATGAATAATATTCTTATTCTCCACATTGTCATTTACTGGAATTAACTTACTATTGTCAAAGTTATGATTAATAGTATTATCTGTTCTCTTTCCTAAAGTACACAATACCACCACATTCTCTTACTAATTACTCAATATAACATTTAGCGACAGTACGCTGGTTTTGTGATGACAAGCCTCATATACAACATGCCAACAACAGGTTTGCCGTTAAAGCCATCTTCTCAAAAGAATGTTGAATACATATGTTTTTTTACAGATGTACAACAATTACATGAATAATAATATTACGCACTGGACATTAGTTGGTAGAATGCCCATTAGTGCACACTGGAACCCTATACTTAAAGACAGGCAAATCTAAGTTATAGCTGGCAAAATATACACAATGATAAAAATAATGATAAAATTAATAATACTAATAAAAAATCTAAAACAAAAATCATAAATAACGTTAAAAATAACTAGAATACATTAAAACCACTGAAATTATTTGAAATATTTATGTTAAACTGATCATATAGAACAATAATTTTACTTTCATCCTACCTTTATCTTGTCTGGTGAGGCAACAAAGAATGTATGCTTAGGCGGAGACAATGCTTTATCACTGTGGAATCAATAATAATATAATTTAACCTTATATCATACTGCCTTTCGTATTTCAACAAACAGTAAGTTTAACCATGACCATGGCAAAATGATAAATCATAGTAAAAGGCAATCAAAACAAAGTAACAAAAATGAAGTGTTTCTACAACAGGATATATAATAATTTGAATATTTATTAAGCGCTGTTGCACAAATGGTCTCACAGCGCTATTAGTGAAAAGATAATTGATAAAAATAAGTTTTGAGAAAAGTATTAAACTGTTTGAAAGTTGACAAAATTCATGATGTAGTTCGTTTTGTATGGGTGGTGCAGCGGCATAGAAAGTCATGTGGGAAGTGGAATTGGCCAGCGTTGCCTTTGGCACTTCACGTTTAAACATATCGTAAGCAGAACGAAGACAGTGATTAGGCTGATAAATACTTTGTATTGATGTTGAGATAAGTAACAAACTGCTATATCCATTCCATGTTCCATTTAATATGAATGATCCTGCACTCTGGTCAACATTTTCATATTAAAAGTAAAAACTCCAATTAAAACCACACACTGACCGGATTTAAACCGGGATTTTCAGAACTAGAAGTACGAACAATAGGGATCTTTCGATTACACAACGACATTAGGATGTAGAATGTAATAATGTCACATTAAGTCATCTGCGCATACGAGAACGTTAAGTTCTCCAAGTCGCAATTTGACCAAATCTACGTTGTGCAGAAAAGGTGGAACGGTCACGCATGAGTAAATCCGTCCTAGTGTCGCCGCGCATATTGAAAGTTCCCTAACACCCTTTCAGCCAACAGCTCAGCTTTCTTTTATCTTGTTTTAAGTTTAAATAATAGGAAGAAATTTTGTACCTGGCTAACAGCTTAAGATGTTCACTGGCGGCTTGCCAATAATGTACGCTAAGTCGCTGACATGCCAGAAACTGTTCGTTGCCAGGAACATCATTTTCTTTCTTTTCTTCAAGCATCTAAAATCAACAGTAATAATACAATTACTGATTACAATAGTAGGAAATACCATTTATCGTAGTATTTATCAATTGTGGCACGTGTAATACCTGAAAATTGATGCAATAATAAATACCATTATTTTTACATAGACCGTTGAATTTGCTAGTAATCAACTTTATTTTATTTGAAAAGACTTCCAAATCAGTGAAGCTGAAGATTTAGCTGGCAAAACATGAGGTGATTTTTACAATACATCAAAATAATTTGTTTGCTATTTTGCTAAGCACACTTCTTGTAGGAGCAGGGCTCTATCATTGTTTTCTCTTGGGTGGGGAATGCACACCTAAGCCACGGTAGAAAAGCCACAATACTTAGGTGTCTTGGCAATGGGAACAATATATTCATTCACTTATATTTACCATGAGAAAAGAAAGAGTAAATTAATTATTATAAAATCAGTTATCTTACTCTGGCTCTAAATGTTCGTGCAAGATGAATCAGCAGGGGGGTGTCGATGTTAAATTGATCGGCATTGCGTATCGCTTCTAAACCTTTTTGGATGGAAAGACGCATCTTTGCTCGCTCTTCTGACCTATGAAGAGAGGTGAAAAACTTCAGTCAATATACAATATTTTTAAAAAAAATCAATATTGCTACTTTTGAGTAACTTAAATATTTACCACATAATAATAATTACTACTAATAAAAAATAATGTCATACTGTCACTTTGTCCATACATAAAAATATCCTCAAACATGTTAATTATACACTACTGGGAAAGCAATGCACAAATGAATTCTATCAATGTTTTTCTACCCTACCAGGTAACTTGATTCTATTTAGTAGACAGAGGCAAATGTAGGTAAAATGCCCTGCTCGACCACACAATAGCGGATTTTATGTGAAACTATTGGCCATTTGTGGAATATGGCCCAAGTTCATCTTAAAGAATGCAGTACACTATTTGGAAGAGACTAGGGGATTTGCCCAATCACCACCAGAAGAACCTCACTAAAAATAAGTGCCCATTATAAAATATAAATCTTCACTTACTTGGCATTTCCACTATACAATGCACACACAGACTTAAACCATTTCTCTTGTTCCTCCGTGAACAACATCTGACAGAGAGGCACCGGTAAGATAACTGGTTGGTTTTTGTCCATTCGGCCATCTGCCCGCAAACTCTCATTTTTTGCCTTAGCAGCTTTCACAAGAAGGTACAAGAATGCCTTGAGAAAAAAAATGTTAAATCAATGTCAAATGGTACAAGAAAAGAAATAACACAAGACTTTTTTTAAACCTTGTCTAGTGAACCAAATTAGCACACCCCGCTACCAACAAAAATGGAAGTTTCAGAAAAGTTTTTCTTTTAGCCCGTTGCTGCCTTGAAATCTTCAAAAATAAGATGTTTATTTCTTCTTAACTATAATTTTAAATCATTTAACTATCCCATTATTACACTGTTTACATTCAACAATAACATTTTATTATTATTTTCTCCTCTGTCTAGATATTTTTGGCAAAAACCATTTGCTAAATAAGAAAACAAAATCCTCCTCAAACGATCTTTAAAAAAAAAGTTTGCTAAACAAGTTATAAAAAGTCTCACTTATCTAATTTTATTGGGTGTAGCAGAAACTAGCTAAATAAATAAGTCATTGTGACTTTTTAATCAATTTTTGTCTTAGTTAATGTGTTGGTGATTGTTTGCTCTATCAGTGCCTGAATTTAAATAACTAAACAGAGGATGCTATTTACAAAAATAAAATAAAAATAACACCAGGCAAAGTTACTCTAGGAATGCGATAACACATCTTTACCTTTGGAAGAAAAGTTTTCATAAGTCAAAAACAATTTATTCATTCTTATTTATTGTTTTATTCACAGTTCTTCCTAATCCTTGGTTCTTGGGTGTGGTGATCCCTCTGTAACTTATTGGTTAAACTGCGATGGTACTGAACAATAATAAGAGTTGGTTAGAGACATTTTAGTCTTAAATTTATATCCATTCCTGTTGTTTCTTTATAATGAACGTAAAAAACGAAGAAAAAAAAAAATCATGGATATCCTTCCATGCCGTAGTGCATTAGGATAGTGAGACTGATGTTAAACTTTAGGGTCAAGCCAGCTCCACCAATCCACACCATGGATTTAGGTAAAACCTTATGAACAATATCCACAGCATGAAAAAAATACATTACCTCAATATCCAGAAGTCTTAGGTTATCAACACTTGTTATCTTTAAGTTATTGGATGAATAATGAAGTTTATCAAATGATGTTTCGATGAAGGTTCCTAGGTCAGGTGAAATCCCATCTTTCCTGACATCCCACTGAAGGCCTAACCATACCAGTAGCTGAAGATTGTGTGGTTGAGCTAACACAGCATCTAGTTAAAAAAAACAGAAATTATTGGTTTTGTTAGCATACAATACGATCTGTCAAAACTAATTAATATATGTCACAGAGGTTTTGGAAAAAAAAAAATCAATATTTTTGCAGTCTTGTACTGTGTTCTATGTGTTTTTAAACCTGATTAAGGGGATTTTCATTTTTGGTCGAAAAATTCTTGTTTTTGACCTAGGTTGAAGGTCATGTTTTTACTACATACCAATGTAAATTTCACAAACTATCCTCGCGAATATTTCTGACCTATCAACAAGGTAGATTTTTTAGGCTAAACCAATCAACCTATGCTGCATAGTTACTCTGTGGGCAATTCAGCTATAGTAGATTACATCAAAGTTAGTCACATAAGGGTAGCAATAATAAATTGGGCAGTAAAATTGGCTAATATAGGGGACACATTCAGGCTATGTTCTCACACGGCTGCTAACCGTTAGCTGCTGTGCGTCAATGCGAGAAAATCCCGATCCGGATACCAACAATATGATGATCGAATCACTGGCCAATAAGAAACTGGAAATTGTAAACTCGTACGTGTGATTGGTTGATGATAGAAACGCCCTCAACTTGCTAACCGATAGCGCTTGCTAACCGTTAGCGGTATCCGGACACCGTTAACAGTTAGCGCTAACCGATCGGGCGTTCTCACGCAAGTGCTAACGGTTAGCGCTAACGGTTAGCTCCCGATCCGGATACTAGGGCTCTCGTGAGAACCAGGCTATACTTGGGTAGTAAATTAGCCAGTAATGGATTCAGGCCATTTACTTTGAAGAGTTAAAATTACATATCAATAGATAACCAGATCGAAAACCTGAACAACTCAAAAAGTGCTGTGCATATAAGATTTGAACATAGCACCCTGAGATAAGAAGGCAACCACCTTTAACACCAAGCTAGAATTCAACTCAAACTTTGCAATTTTAACAAACCTTGATCGTATTTGAGGACTACTCCTACGAGGTCATCCAGGATGATCTCCTGTACCTTCACAAAATTTGTGTTTGTCATAAAATATGATTTGTTTGGGTCGGCTTCTTGACCGAAGGCAACATGGAACAGCTGTGTCTGGCTCTACAAAAAAGAATGGTTACTAAATAAACCTCACTTTTTTTTCACTACTTGAGATGTGGAGTGCCACAAATTAAGCATGGCCCAGTGTAATACAAAAATAAATTAAATTGAAAATATCTTTTCTTATTCTTTCATATTATAACAGCAAGTGCAGAAAATAACACCATCCAATGAATTTGATGGAGGGGATAATTGTGTCAAGATGAGTAAATTTAAATAGTGTAATGAATTTAGTACCTGTAGGTTGGCGGTGGCCCTGTGGCATTTCTCCAGCCAATCTGGACCATACTGTTTTTGGAATGCATGTAACATATGGGCTAGAAACAAAAAGAACAACATCAATAGTTAATACACAGATAAAATAATGTAGAATTGGTTTTAACTTAACTGATCAAAGTCAAGACTCATTAGAAAACATCCAGTATTTCAACACACCTAATAGATCATTAGATTGGTGGAATTAGTATTAATAAATAATTCCTTGTTTAACATTTATGTCATTCACCATGTCATTTATTAGCTCCATATATATTTTGTTCCATTAATTTGTCACATTGCAAACTTCAATTTACTGTATATTCCGGTGTGTAAGCCGCACCTGTGTATAAGCCGCCCCCCAAATTAGGACGCGAATATCACTATTTTTTGTGTCACCTGTGTATAAGCCGCACCTATTTTTAAGCTCCAAACCGTTCCCATAATGTTAAGTTTTTAATTATTTTGAAACATTCACATTATTTATAAATGTTCACATAAAGAAATTTCATCTTTTGCGGCCGATTATTAAACAACAAACATCTGGAAATGCGTGTAAACTGCTGGCTACCGCCATGTTAACAACGTATTCTTGCTCTAGGCAGCCCTAGGG